CTCTTCTGCATACGTTGGTGTAACAAATGGTTATTTGAGTTACTGTGGCCTTCCTATCAGCTCAAAACAATCTGGCCTCCTTTGACCTCAGACATCAACAAGACATCTTGGCCCACAGAGCTGCTGCTCACTGCATACTTTCTCTTTTTCACTTCCTAAGAAACTCAGACCAGTCTGGCACCCACAATGATGACACATTCCAAGTCACTCACATCACCATTATTCCACATTTTGATGCTCAGTTTGAACTTAAGCAGGTCATCTTGACCATCTCCAACCTTTTACATCTTTACGTTCCATCCCGTGCTCTCCGATCTCAGGACTCTGGCCTTCTAAAGGTTCCCAGAGCCAGAAAAAAGACAATTGGAGAGCGTGCTTTTTCTTTTCGTGCCCCGTTTCTGTGGAACAACCTCCCCAAAAACTAAGCTGAAGACACATTTGTTCACCTTATCTTACAAGTCTTAATTCTGTGGCTTTTAGTTTTTAAATTTTTACTGTTTTTAACTTGTATTGTGTCTTTTACCTGTATTGCTATGTATCGCTTTTATTTTTATTTTATTTATTTTTTTTATCTTTTTAGTTTCAAATAGTTGTACAGCACTTTGTTTGAAAGCGCTTTATAAATAAAGTTATTATTATTATTATTTAGATATATATTATATATTTATGTTATAGAGCATTGAACAAGTGTACTTAAAGAAGTGGCCAGTGAGTGTATATGACAGATAATAAACAAAAGAATATTACATCCAGTTTAACGACTTACTAAAATCTAACGCCTGCCAAAAGATTATCACAAGCTAACAATAGAGAAATGCTCCTACTTTATATAAATACCAATTAAATAATGAAATAACTTGCTGTGAAACCTTGTGCGCAAAACAAACACAACTCCTCTCAGCTCCATTGTTTTGGGGAAGAGGCAGAAATTAGAAACTCACTGCTACATTTCTGTGAACCCGACCTTTTCATTTCCTGCCGGTCTCCCATCACAAGTGTGAGTTTCTTGGAGTGAACATGTGAAACCTGACATGCCACTTCTTCTGTGGGAAAAAAATAAAAACTGTGGAGCCGGAAAGGCGCCCCTCTCATAAATATAAACATCCCCATCGGTCTCAGCCGACCTCTCGCTGCCGTCCTCACTGCCTGGCTTGAGTGTCGTCAGAGGAAGACAATGTCTCCTGACCTCTGACACCCATTTAGATCAGAAGAATGACGGGTGGTGCTTTGGAGCAATGCATTTTTTAGGCTTAAAACACTTTTTTTTCCTTTTGAGATGACTTTGAAAGCATTTGTTTTTTTTGTTTTTCTGACAGGATCTGCCTCGGGTTATCCAGGAGGTAAACGCGTAAAGGAGATGGTGTGTGTCTGAACCCACAGTGAACCAAGATGGAGCCCATTAAGAGAGATATGGAGCTGCTGAGTAACAGCATGGCGACCTACGCTCACATCAAAGGTAAAATCTTAGCAGGGCTTTAAGTGTGGCTTCCAACATGGAGTTGGGGACAACCTCAAGGTGTTATTAGGTGAATCTATAAAACCACAGGCAGCTTGCTACACCACACTGTATGACTTTACATAGGTTGTACATGAATATTTCTTTCTAAGCTCCTACACGAGTAACTCTGCATGTTACAGTTCAAAGAAATCTTTATTTAACTTTATACTTTAAACTTCACTCTGATTGGCTGCCTTGTGCAAACAGAAGGGTTTAACAACAGTGGGTGGGGCCTTTGTGCTCACACCTAGACCCATAGCAGTTTACTTTAATAATGCTCTGCCTGAGGCAGCCATATTAGGGATATCCCTTCTTAGTGACATCACAAAGAGCCAAGAGTAGAAAATCTGGTGAAAATCAAGCGTTTAGAGTCTGAAACCTGAGTTTTTGGCTCACAGGGGTTACTTTAACATACACTGATCTAACTATTTTAAACTTTCGCTGTCTTTGATATGAGCATC